CCACCCTTACCTGCACTGTGTCTCCACTCTGGACAGCCAGGTCGCTCCTCTTCCAGATGACAACAGGTTGGGGGTTGCCGACAGCTGTGCAGGTAAGGCTCAGCGCGTCCCGGTCCCGCACCTCCACGAATGCAGGGGGGGTCTCCAGGAAGGTGGGGGGTGCTGTAAAGACAAGTCCAGACCCTCACCCACCCCAGGTCCAGATCAACTGGTCTTGGAAGACCAGCAGATCCACTTCCAGCCCTGAGAGATCTTGGCTGGCGGCGAGCAGAGCAGCAACCGAGGGTAGGATCAACCGGTACCATTGACAGTGAGGTGGATCCAGGTGCCGTTCTGGAAGTCGGCATCGGTGCTGTGCCGGTCGAGGAAGAGCACACGGCACTCGTACCAGCCTTGGTCCTCAGCACGCAGGAGGTCGATGCGCAGCGAGGCGCCTTCCTCGATCCGCACACGACCTGCACACCCAGAAGCGGCTGTCACAGCCAGTGCTGCTGGTCCAGGGACAGCCACATCCCCAGGCTACCTGCCTCCCCGGGCTGGCCGCCCACGCAGCACTCGCCCTTGCTGCAGGTTCAGCAGCTTCCCCGGGGAGCAGGGATGCCCGTGCAGCCAGGCCACGCTTGAGCTTCACTTTGGCTGATGCCACAGGGGACTGGGAATGGCCGTGGGACAAAAGCTGTGCTGTGTCACGGTGGAGGTTGGTCACAGCGACATTTAGCACTGCACCTCCTGCTGCTGTCAGGGAAATGGGAGAGGACATGGTGATGGGCTCTGCCAGCCATCCCCGCGTAGAGTAGCCTCAGCAGGGACCCCAGGTGGGTCCATCCGCCTCGAGCATCACTCCCAGCATCTGGGCAAGAGAGCTGGTCCCACCACCCCCTCCGCCGCCCTCTTGAGCTGCCAGCCTGCCTGCAAAATCCCTCCCAGCACCCATTTCCCCTTGCCTTTCAGGGAGCCTTCCCCCACAGCCTCAGCCATCCTTTCCCCTGGGAGCCCCCGCCCTCAGCAGTCTCACCCTTAGGAGCCTTGCTAAGCTCCAGGCACCCCTGCACCATCCCCTCTCCCCATGGCACAGGGAGGGTCAGGCTGAACCCTTGCCTGCCTGGCAGGGACGAGTGCTACAGACCCCACGAGGGACATGGCAAGGGGGGGCTCTCCTGGGCTGTGAGGCCCTCGCTCTGAGCAGGCAGCAGCAGCCCTGTGCCCCATTTGATAAGGAGGAGGATAAGGGAGCAAAGTGACAGCGAGCACAGCCCCTTAATCCTCTGGGCTATTATCAGAGCCATAATCGTATCAGGAGTGCTGCAGAAAATTGGCTCAGCCCCAGCCGGGGCGCACAGCCAGCGGCACCCACTGCTCTAGCACCCCCAGGGCTATGTGCCCCTGACCCTGCCGCAGACATCCAGGGCCCAGAGAGCTGCTCCAGGCTGGGGATGCAAGTTTAGCCCCAGGTGTGCTACTGCCTGGGGTGGCCTTGCTCCTAGCACGCCACGGCAGGGCTGTTGCCACTGCGCTGGCAGCACCGCACACAGCTCTTGGCACCGGAGCGGTCCACGATGCTCCCATTGACATCCCAGAGCTCCTGGGGACCAGCAGCTTCCTCAAATATTTCCAACAAAGCGAGTTTTGCCAAACCCCCCTTTAGCTCTGTGCAGGAGCTTGGTGTCACAGGCAGTGCCCATGCATTGCCCAAGCCACTGGAGCCCAGACTGGGCACTGCGTGCGTGTTATCGGCAGCAGGAGGCTTCATCCCACCAGATGAGCCTTGTGAAGAGGAGGAGGAGCAGTGGGACCCAGGCAGACTGGTTGGGGCACAGAGGCCAGGGAGCTGAGGGACAGGATCCCCCGTGGGGTGGGGTGCTGGGGCCATGCAGCCCTGCGTGAACCCAGCACACAAAACACGTGCAAGCCCTTCCCAGTAGTGCCCAGAGCTTCTTCCAGCCACCTGCCGCATCTCCCACCCCTCCTGCTTCTCCCCAGGCCAGCTCCAACCCAGACTCATGGTATCGCCTGTTGCAGGAGGCGCAGGGACAGGCGGACATATCTGGGTGCCTCTGGTGGCATCCCTCAGAGCACGAACCAACACCCCAGGCAAACCTTGAACATGAGGCCGGTGGCAGGAGCAGCTGGAGGGATGGGAGCAATAGCAAGACACCCATGGGACAAAGGGTCCTCCCGCCCCTCACCCCAGAGGCAGCTCCCATGACAAGCCCTGGGAAGCAGTGCAGCTCCAGAGAGCTCCAGGAAACCCCATCCCTGCCTGCAGCTCCCAGCTCCCAGCCTCCAGGAGCCAGGCAAGAGCAGCAGGCTCCTGAACAAAGGTCCCTTTGGAAGGGATCAGAGTGCCCTGGGGACGCCCCCTCAGCCTCCTCCTAATCCCCCACACCGGCCCCAGCCCCCTCCTCCTCTTCCACCACTCTGACAATAACAAAACCGCTGCTGCTGCCCTCCAGACCAGCATCCCCCAGTGCCTGGCAACCGTCATTCAGAGGGACACAAAGGGGGCTCCAGCCCTAGCTGCTGTGCTTGCCGTCAGGGATGGGGTGCCTGAGCAGGCGGCCAGACCAGGGACCACTGGCCCCACTCCAGGCCAGCTGACAGCAGAGGACAGTGGCCCATAACACCATGGGGGACAGTGGCACATGAGGGGGAGAGCTGACCCCGTTCCCCCAAGGGCTCTCACAGAGGTGACTGCAGCCCACCCTGTCCCCAGGATGCCCTGAATTGCCCCACGAGGGATGTGGGTGACTGCAGCCCCCCCCGGCCCCTCCGGTTGACATCCACTCTGCTCCACCTGGGAAGGGCTGGAAGGAACGGCTACCCTTGCCCTTACCCTGCACCCACAGCCCCTGGCCTTCCCTCCATCCCTTCCCAGCCCCCCCAGAGGATTGAAGACAAGCCGCTGCCATGGTGACAGCCATCAGTCCCCCTGCCCACCCACCTCGCCCTCGTTGCAGCCTCCAGACCCCTTCCCCCAGCACTGATCTACCCACTCCCAGCACTGATCCCTGAGCAGCCCAACCCGCTCACACAGCCCCCAACCCGCTCACACAGCCCCCAACCCGCTCACACAGCCCCCAACCCGCTCACACAGCCCCCAACCCGCTCACACAGCCCCCAACCCGCTCACACAGCCCCCGGGACAAGGGGGAGGGCTGAGGGCAGTGCAGGCAGGATGCTGCCAGGCCCTTTCTGGGTAACCTGAGCTCCGGCAGCCAAGGGGCCCCACGATGCCAGGCTCAGGTAACAGGAGCCCAGCCCAGGCCTCCCAGGGAAGCAGGTGCCTTGTTGTCACCGTCGGTCCCACAGAGCCAGCTTGGGGCTGGCTGCAGAGTGGTGGTGTCCCCAGGCACAGGCCCAGGCGTGCCCCAAAATCAGCCTCCTCCTGCAGAGTCTGGGAAGAAGCAGCACCGCTCCGCCCGTGGCAAGGCAGGAGAGAGGTTGGCTCAAACCTCAGCCTGCCATGCATTTTTTTAGGCAAGGGCCAATTTCGGCAGTGGGAGGGGCAGGCTCCTGACCTAAGCACGATCTGGCTCTCCAGCCCTCCCCATGTGGTCCCATGGGAGGACTGGAGGGAAGATTTTGGTGCACCAGTGCCACAGGCTATCAGGGCCGGGCTCAGCTCAAAACACCAGCCAGCTGCCAGCCCTTACCCTCCTCCCCAGCTTCCCCATCCTTGGGGAACGCTCCTGTTGTCTTCATCTCTGCTCTCGCAGAGATCCCTCAAGGTCTGTCACTGCTTCACTTTAAATACCCCGTAAAGAGGAGAATATCGCCCTCCCACGCCACAGCCCTTCCCCAGCAGAGCTTTGCTCCAAATCCCAGTCAGCCCAGCACTGCCAATTAGCAGCTTCACCAAAATCCCCTCCCCAGGCTCAACCTTCAAGCGACCCACATGGGCCGAGGCAGCAGTGTGGCAGCGCCGGGGCACCCGCAGCCTCCAGCACCAGCCCTGCTGCAGCGCAGTGGACAGACAGGGGAGTCAGGGTAGCGTGGCAAGCAGTGCCGTGATGCCACAGCCTGGGCACAGCCAGGCAGGCGCTGGCCCGGCCTGCTCCCAAGTGGGTGGCGCTGGGGGAGGCCCCAGCAGCCCGAGGCCACAGTGATGGGTGCCCGGTGATGGGTGCCGTGGCTGGTATGCCAGGACCCGCCTGTCTGGGCAGCTTCTCCTACCCTCTACCCCGGTGGGGATCCTGCTCGCTGCTGAGCTGGGCCGGGAGCTGCATCTCCCTTGCCAGCTGCATATCTGCAGCCCTGTGCCTCCTACTCCAGCCATCCCCGGAGCTGCTGCACAAGGAGGGGTCTCTCTCCCCTGCTGCAGGGACCTCCCTGGTCCCACAGCATCCCCTCTCCTGCTACCCAGGGCTGGAGGGAGACCCCCACGCTTCCTCACGGCCCTTGGGAGCGTGATTAATGCAATCTGACAGCGGCAGCCCTCGGCTGGGGCCCAGCCAAGGAGAGAAGGGACGCGGGACGCAAGAGCCAGCCCGGCAGACCTCATGTGCCGCCCCAGACCTGTCTCAGCCCACAGGTTGGGGCCAGGAGGGCTCCCCCTGGACCCTGTAACCAGCCGCCATCGCAGCACCCCGGCCACAGGACTTACCGACATACTCCGGGTCCACGCGTGGTGAGTAGAGCCCGAACTTGATGAAGATGGGGAGGACGAAGCCGAAGCGGACCCACTCGATCACATAGAGCGGGGGCCGGGCCCCGTGGGCGTCCAGGAGGTCACAGCCCAGCACCGCGCTCCCTCCAACTCGCCCCACCACGGCCTGGGACTCGCTCTGGCCGCTGCCTGTTGGGACCGAGACGGGAAGGGTGAGCCCCGCCGGCGGGACGGGACCCTGCCCGCTGCCCCGGGCCCCGCCGCAGCCCGCGGACCTCTTCCCAGCCGGCGGCACCGACCGCCCCTCGGCCCGGGAAGCGGCACCACGTGCGCTGCCCCCGCCGCCACCCGCGCCCCGGGGGCCCAGCCCCGGTCAGACGGGCCCCGCCGGCAGCGCAACCGCTCCCGCCCCGGCCCCCCAGCCCCGGCCCCGGCCCCCGGCCCCTCCGCCGCAGGGCGTCCCGGCGCCCCTCACCCTCAGCGCCGGCGAGCAGGCTGAGGACGGCGGCGCGCAGCCACCACCGCATAGCCCAGGTTCCCCTTCAGCCGGCTCCCGCGGCGGCCCCGGGCTGCAGCAAGTCGGTCAGCGGGGGCCAGCGCCTCAGGGCCCGCGGGCCGGTGGGCTCCGCCGGGCTGCCCGCGGCGCGGCGGCCCCGGGCGGGGGGCGCTGGCGGCTCTGCGCCCCGCCTTCCCTCATGCCCGGCCCGCCCAGGCCCGGCCCGCGCCGCTCTGCTCCGGCGGCCGCCGACAAACCCGCGGCGCCGGGAGGGTCCGCCCCGCGCCACGCCCCCGGCCACGCCCCCGCCGCCCCGCGCGGCCCGTTGCCATGGGGACAGCCAATCGGGAGCCCGGTGGCGGGGCGCTGCCGAGGCCGGCCAGTGGCGGAGCGGGGCAGAGGGAGCCGCGAGGGCTGCTGGGAGTAGTAGTTCCGGCGGGGGGGCGGGGGGACGCGGGTGGGGCGCTGCGGCGGGGTGCGGGTGTGCGATGCACCCGCGGGACACGGGCACGGGGCGTGCGTGTGACCAGGCGTGTGCGTGACCAGGCGTGTGTGACACAGGTGTGTGTGACCAGGCGTGTGCGTGACCAGGCCTGTGTGACACAGGTGTGTGTGTGTGACCAGGCGTGCGTGTGACCAGGCGTGTGCGACACAGGTGTGTGTGTGTGACCAGGCGTGCGTGTGACCAGGCGTGTGCGTGACCAGGCGTGTGTGACACAGGTGTGTGTGTGGCCAGGCGTGCGTGTGACCAGGTGTGTGCGTGACCAGGCATGTGTGACACAGGTGTGTGTGTGTGACCAGGCGTGCGTGTGACCAGGCGTGTGTGTGACACAGGTGTGTGTGTGACCAGGCGTGCGTGTGACCAGGCGTGTGCGTGACCAGGCGTGTGTGACACAGGTGTGTGTGTGACCAGGCGTGTGCGTGACCAGGCCTGTGTGACACAGGTGTGTGTGTGTGACCAGGCGTGCGTGTGACCAGGCGTGTGTGTGACAAAGGTGTGTGACACAGGCGTGTGTGTGACCAGGCGTGCGTGTGACCAGGCGTGTGTGTGACAAAGGTGTGTGACACAGGCATGTGTGTGACCAGGTGTGCGTGTGACCAGGCGTGTGTGTGACAAAGGTGTGTGTGTGACAAAGGTGTGTGACACAGGCATGTGCGTGACCAGGCGTGTGCGTGACCAGGTGTGCATGTGACCAGGCGTGTGCGTGACCAGGCGTGTGTGACACAGGTGTGGTGTGGCCAGGCGTGCGTGTGACCAGGCGTGTGCGTGACCAGGCGTGTGTGACACAGGTGTGTGCATGACCAGGCGTGTGCGTGACCAGGTGTGCATGTGACCAGGCGTGTGCGTGACCAGGTGTGTGACACAGGTGTGTGTGTGTGACCAGGCACGGGACACCAGTGTGCCCGCACGCTGCCTGACCAGGGGCATCGTCAATGCATGGTGCCTACCCAGAGCTGCTGCAGGCTGAGCCCCGCTGTGCCCAGCCGTGCCGGGCTGTGCCGCGCAAGCCATGTCATGCCAAGCCATGCTGAGCCACACCACATGCAGCCTTATGGTGAGCAGGCAGCACTTGCGTGGGCATGCAGCACCCCCGTGACCCTGCCATGCCAGGGCTCCTGAGCTGCCCTTCCCTACCCCAGCTGTCTCCTCTCTAATCCCGTCCTAAATGTGTCCCTGGCACAGGAACGGCCACCGGTGCCGTGTCCCCATCCTGCCAGGCTGAGCCGGAGCTGGGCTGCCCGCCAGGCTGGGGCTCTGGGAGGCCTCCTGGGACATCCCCTGCATCCTGATGCCATGATGGAGCCTGGCATGGAGGGTGGAGCGTGGCTGTGCCAGACTGTGCACGCCTGGCCGGGCCCCGCTCGGCGGCACCACTCAGCCTCAGGAGCCATGCTGAGCACTGGGATGGGGACGATGGGCCACAGCCCCCCACCTCGGCCCCCCCCTTCCCTGGGGCAGGGGTCCACAGACCCCCCCGTAAGCCCGGCCTCCTGAGCCTGGGAGACTATTAAGGACAGAGCTAAAGTAAGAGGAGTTAAAGTAAATAATTCTGCAGTTAAGCTGCTTTCCTGCATCTCACGGGCCCATGTGAGCCCTGCAGCTCCCACAGGCTTAAGCGCTACAGCTGGACAGTGCTGCTCTGTCCCTGTTGTTCCTGGCCACCCCCCAGCCTTGTGCCCCAGGCAACGGGTCCAGCCGGCGCCGAGCGCGAGCACCCCTGGATGTCCCCCCATCTTGATGTGGTGTCAGATCTCCAGAGCCACGGGCTGCCTTCTACCTCCGGCCTTTTGGGGTGCCCTGCACCCTGTGGAGAAACACCCCTCCCCTGCTCCCCCCCCCCCCCCCCCGGGTCACCGCCTCCATCCCCGCTGGTCCCACCCCAGGCCATGTGTGAGGAGCTGGGTCCAGAAGAGGGGGACACTGGGGTGCTACAGCTGCCCTCAGACAGACAGCTGCCTCCAGCCATGGCTCTGAGCAGGGCACAGCCATCTTGTCAGCTGTGCCTGGTGTCACCACCCTGGTGCTGTGCTCCCGAGGGAGGACGATGACATTTTGGCGTTTCAGAGCAACATCTGTGGGCCGTGGAGCTGCCTGGCAGAGGTGATGGTTCTGCCAGCCCCAGGCATGGACACTGTGCTCATTTCCAGGGAGTGCTGGGCACTCCCACTCGTGTGCCGTGCTCCCGAGAGCAGGGACAGTGACACTTCTTGCACTTAGGATTTAAATGCCACCAAGGTTAAGAGCAGCTGAGAAGACGTTTTCAGGATTGGACTTGTGGACAGAGATGTCTAAATTCCATCCAAGCTACACTTCAAGCATCAATGTCCTGGGCCAGCCCACATGCGTTGAGGCGGCTGCCGCCCTCCACGTGGCATCACTGCTTTGCTGGACGACCAACTCTGGGGCTTGCCTGCCGATGCCTGAAGCACAGACCCTCACAATCCTCATGAGCCAGGACCCCCCCCCACCCGGGGTGTGGCTGCCAACCAAGCCCGGTGGCACAGCGGGGTGACGGGGAACCTGGCAGAGCCACAAGCACATGTGCTGCCCACCGGTTCCCCACACACAGACCCGGAGAGAAGCCACAGGACAGTCCTTTAATGCAGCAGGGGACAGATGGCAGCATCTCAGGGCTGGTAAAGGCCCCCACCATTTCGGAGGGACTGTCTCCATTGAACCCGTCCGGCACACGCTGCCCCAGGGAGACGGTCGCGCTCATACCTCCTCACTGTCCTCTCCAGCGCTGTGGTGGGGCAGATCCCGCTGGCGAGCCGGGCTTTGGGAGCCACAGCTCACCAGCAGCCACGGCCCTGGCGCGGCACGAGGAGGAGGAGCCCCTCCAGAGACAGGATTCCATGCAGTGGGGCTGCACCTACCGAACACTCCGGCAGAACTGGATCACAGCTTGCTCCTGCTCCCACGTCTCAATGGATCCGGGCCGCAGCTGCCGGATCTCCCGGATGGCGTCGCCGCCATCCATCCTCCGCGCCTTCGCCAGGTAGCAGGCCAGCATGGTGCCCGTGCGGCCGTGCCCTAGCATGCAGTGCACCGCCACAGCCTGGCCGCCGGCGCCGCACCGTCAGCGGCCCCGGCGCGAAGGGGCGCGGGCATCCCTGCTGCGGCCCCCCGCGCTCCTCGGCATCACCCCTCGGTGCTACAGCCGTTGCCCCCCCCCCCCCGGTGTCACCCCCTCGGTGGAACCTCTCCCCGGGGGCCGCCGCCTCCCTCCCGAGCTGTCACCCTCCCGCAGTGTCACCCCGAGCGGCCGCCAGACCTCGGCATACCTCGCCACGGGCGTTGGCCTCCTCCACCAGCTGCAGGAAGCCCTGGATCTGCGCAGGGGTCGGGGGCTGAAGTCGGGCACGCGGAGCCGGTGGAGCTGGATGGCGGGGCAGCACCCGTGGTGCGGGGGGGCCCGCTCCGACAGCGACACCAGGTGCCGCACGCCCTGGCCCAGCAGGAACCGGTAGTGGCCCGGCTCCCGCGGCATGGCCAGGCCCGCCAGCCGCCCCTCGCCACCCACGAGAAGTTGGGGGGCTCGGACGCCGCCATCA